CCAGAAGCTATGGTGGGAACAAGGAGTGCACGGTGACAGTGTCCACTGAGTGAACAGGTGGTTGAAAGGTCGGGAGAGGTCAGGGGGGATTGGGGAGAGTCAGGGGAGGTCGGGGGAGGTCGGGGGAGGTCGGGGGAGGTCGGGGGAGGTTGGGAGAGGTAGATGGGAGGAATGCATTAACCTGTATTTGTCAGCAATGAATTGTCAAGTACATGGCCTGGATCGAGTAGAATAGGAGACCGTCCACTCTGCGCATCGTGCAAAAAGGGAATCCTCAAAATATCTAACTCCCCAGTGCATGGAGCACACATAACCGAAACAGCAGACAGAAAAAGCAGCAGTACACGACAAAGAAGGGGGAGGAGGAGGAGGAGGAGGAGAAAAATTAGCAATTCAAAGTTTTTAAACCAGGTCAAGAGGGTTCTTCTTCTTCTTCTTCTTCTTCTTCTTCTTCTTCTTCTTCTTCTTCTTCTTCTTTACTGTTTCGGCTTTCAAAATAGGGAGGGGTTAGGCTCAAAGATTATTGCAGCAAATAGGATCAGCATTCTGGAAGTATTGACCTTTTTTTTTTTTTTTTCCTTTTCATGAACTCTTGACCTGTTGATCAAAAATTGCAATTTCCAAGTGATCTGCAAAAGTTACATGCATCTCACAGAGAATGAAATCGATTTATGGCAGTACACTAGGTAGGGGTCATATGCTATGCATGGCTTCGTGTCAGCCGCAAGAGGTGCTATGCTAGTGCTGAGAGAGCCTGCACCTGAGCATTAAAAATGCCAGGTTTTGTTAACATGAAAATACCACCACTGGGACCCGGCACTCTTACTGTCGTGATGCTTTCAATGCCGAAATTTCCGCAATGTACTTACGGTCGTAATGGATAGAGTTCAGATAATAATTGTTAATACCCCCCTCTGATTCTGCGCTGGGATCACTAAGCTTGGGATCCTTAGGTGTCCCCACATCTTGGATCTGTTGCTGCCTGCGGACAGTCTGTAGGCTTTCTCCTGTGCGAGTCTAAATGAATGACGCCCTTCCTCGTTAATCTTTCACACGAAGAGCATGCAATCACTGCAACTCTAAAAGGTTGGAAAAGCTATTAAACCACCAGTACTTCCTAAAGTCGTGCCCGTTAACAATCTACGGTTTTAGGAAACGTACGGACCACTACAGGAGCGCCCAAATTCATCCAACTAGAAACGTTTCTACTCCATTTTTTCCGCGGCCGATTGCTGGGCCAAGTACTGGTAGTTTAGTAGATTCACTAACACATCATGCCACAGATCCCGAAGGACCTTCCCACGAGAACTGAATGCATGATCAACAAGGCCTTCTGACCAGCATGCATGAGTAGACCAAAGCAAGAGCAGAATTGAAAAGAAGAAGATCACACCAATACATGAACACACGCCACATTGACGAATTTGACGTCTCTTGAATATCAAAGCCCTGTTCTCATCTCTATCAAACCAATAGAACAAAAGATTAGTAGTTTCCAAATTAGGTAAGAGTCGACCTATATTATTGCCTAGCCTAGCCTATTCAGTCTCCTCCAACATGCAACTGAGCAATGTCCACTGCTGCCGATGACTGCTTGAAGAGACTGAACTCGCTTGGAGCTCTACCTGCTAACCACCAGGTGTCTGCCAACTTCTCCCACTGCCTATCTCACCCTCCGACGCACCACCTCTGTCTGACCGCCACCCCTACTATACAATCCGTCCAACCAGCTATGGCACCCGGCATCCTTTCCAATGCCTACCGCTATGGTGCACCAGTGACTGCATGGTTGTCCCCCCTTCCTGCTGCTCATCCACGTTGCCTTAGCGTTGTAGTAGCCTGTCGGTAACCTGCCGTCCGAATATCCCCTTGACTTGCCCGGCCTCGACCTATATATAGTGGCTGGGTCTTCCTGGGCCAGTATGTACTGTCTACTGTAAGTTTCCCGATTCAGCCGAAACCTGATGGGTCCAGGCAGTGTTACGGGATTCCCGATTTATGTGTGTCATCCTGGCGCAGGGGCCATGCTAATCTCCTCTCTCTGTATCATTCCAAATTTAACAGATGTGCCCCCGAAGGACGTCCGTTAAAATTGGAACGATACAGAGAAGACTATATGTCCGTTAAAATTGGAACGATACAGAAAAGACTATGTTACTGAATTCCGGCCCAAGCCTACTGCCGTAACCTTACCAACCCAGGACCCAGGGCCTACCAGCCCTGTACTGCCTGTTGTTGAGGCCTACCTTCTTCCCCCAAATACAACGCACGGTCATCATAGCCGTATCTAGACGGAAAGATCCCTCAAATACAGCTATAATGACCGTACGTTGTACTCGGGGGAAGAAGGTAGGGGCCTCACAGCCTTTCATTTCTCCTACTTTCAACAGCTCCACCAGCTATCCTGAGGGAAACTTCGGAGGGAACCAGCTAGGTTCGATTAGTCTTTTGCGGCTTTCGCCCCTATACCCAAGTCCGACGAACAATTTGCACGTCAGTTTCGTTTCTCCTACTTATTTTTCCTAACATTCTCCCTCTCCTTTTTTATCCCTCTTCTTTTTTTTCTTTTTGGTTCCCTTTTTTTTCCTTCCTCTCTCTCCCCTTCTTTAAAAAACATAAATGTGAGCTGCTTTCTCCTCATATGGGGGACAGCTGCACTTTTTACTACTCTATATTCTTCTCTCTATATTCTTTTTTTAAGTTTTTTGTTCTCGCACTACCTACCCCCGAGCTATGTACTTGGGTTTAGACTCTTTAGAGTCAAGTCTACCAGCTAAGAACTACCCCACACCAGACGGAGGACTTAGTACTAGAATTCAAGTTAATTGTTCTAACCAGGACTTAGTACTAGAATTCGGAATTCCTAAATTTTGAGCCCTTCAGGACTTCCGTTATAATTCGAGCAATTACAAAGTAATTACAGACAAGATTAGCATGGCCCTGCATAAGATGACAGTGATCATGACACACAAAGTTTTTGAGAAACGGTATAAATTATTATATTATAATAATAAAGAAAGAAAGACACAAAAAAACAGAATGTGTACTTTCAAAGGTACTTTGCATTTAGGCAACATACCAGCAACTTGGTTGCCAACAACACCGTTACGTCGAATGGTCCTGTTCCCACAGCTTTCATCCCACACAATCCCATAACCTTCCGAGCCAAGTGCCCAATTCTTGTGAAACTCAACCACAGCGCCTGCAACAAATCCATCGAGATTGTCTTGCTTTCGCATGCATACTGCGTAAAACCCCACAGGCACAAAGTCCTGCAGACTGTTACCTGCCATTTCCGCACCCATGGACTTCATGCCGATAGCAGCATTCCATCTGAAGAGTGCAACAGGCTTGTTCACGGCATTGCTCCTTCCTCTGCTGCTTTCCTCTGCTGCTTGTGCTCCCTCTCCACCCAACTGGTCCCCACTGGTACCCAGTCCCCCCATGTCATCATCCCGCATCCCCGCTTCCCTTTCATCTCGCAGCTTTACAACAAACCCATGCCCCCTGGGCTCAAAACATGTCACATTCTCCACATGGAATGTCGTAGCGGCCGCAACATCCGCATCGATACCTAGGCACCGCGAGTTGCCACCATGCACACTGCAACCCACGATCCGCACTTCATGACCAACACCATGGACAAGGTTGTCTTCACCGTGTCTCAGGTTATCTGTATCCGCAGATGCTCCCTCCAAGTACAACGCAAACTTATCGCCTTCCTCGTCCGCGCCAATTCCCTGCAGACCCCGGAACTCCACCCCCTGAATCCAGATCGCCCTCTTCTCCTGCTCCTGCTTTGACATCGGGGCAAGATACAACTCCCTCCGTCCATCCCCTGCAATAGCCAATTTTGGACCCCAATGCGATGCCACGGTCCAGTTCGCATCAAACTCGCTTATCTCGCCAGCATGCAACAATCTTCCCGATCCCAAACCGCCATCGCCATGTCCCTTCCAAAGCTTTCTTCCCCTCTCTCTGTCCTCAGTGTCAGCAAATGCCTGTCCAAGCCACCTCGCTTTGCCCTCCGGTCCCGCCCCATGGACTTTCGAGGCAACCTTGGCCCGAGCCGAGGTCTTCTCGCCATTTGGCTTCCCTTTCGTGACAGAGAGATCAGACGACAGTGCCAGCGCTATGGAAGACAAAACCGCATTCCATTCTGCACGACCATCTCTTTCGCCAACTCGGAACCCGCCCCCACTTGCATAGAGCCCCCCAGTTACTCTGTGTTGGCCTATATATGCTTGTTCATCTCGGTTTCCGGGAAGCTCTCGTTCCAGCATGTCCCTCCCTTCCTCCTGCAAAGTAACCGGTCCCGATATTGTTCCTCCGCCATTTCTCTTATCAGTGACAGCCGCACGGATGACAAGTCTTCCCGGAAACCCTGGACCATCTGCACCCCTTCCCGATATCACAACATTGCGGCTGAGAATAACCACCGCTGCTCCCTGACTGTAATCGAAAACAAGCCCGTTATCAAAGCTCAGAACAGAGCCCTCTGCCGAACTGAGAGGGAGAGCAGATCCTGTTGAAACAGACGCAAGCACGACGATCTCGTAAGTTCCCCCCTTCTTCGCAAGTCCATTAGTGGCGTCAATTATAGCAGCTTGGCTCCCAGGCCTCCAACCCTCTAGAGCCTTGTCGCTGACGACAATTTCCCTTGCACCAGCACTTGCATTATGGACGAGCTTCGTATGCGCCGGCGCCGGGACAACGCCGTAAATACGGACCCTGCTCCCTAGAGCAATTGCGAAAACCCCGTGCTCAAGACGAATCAGTTCCCCCTCCTCATGGCCTACTTGTTCTGTACCCGTGCCACAGCCAAATGGTTCATTGCTGGTTAATTTGATCAACAGGTCCTTGGTGAAAGTTTTTTCGGCACTCCCAATCGATAGCTCTCCCATTGGATGAACCGCCAGACTACCAACAGCAAGCGAGTGAAGAGAATTATCTGAACCATCTGGGACTTGCAAAGTGCCCCTGAGAAAAATGGACCGTAATGGAGGGATCTCCGTTTCGTTGAGAACCATCTTCACACCTTCTGGAATAAAACTGGATCACATTCAGCACCAGGACCAAAGTCAACAATACATCATCATCATTAAAAAGACAAATGAATTCTAAAATTCTTGTTTACTTTTCCCTTTTTTTAAGTTTTTTTCAAAATTTGGACCGTTTCTCGATTCATGTGTGTCATCCTTGCACAGGGCTCATGCTAATCTTCTCTGTATCGTTCCAATTTTAACGGATGTCCCGGAGGCCTGAATTCTAAAATTCTAAATGTTAAAATGAATGGGAACAAAATGGACTCCGACTAATACAGCAATACCATAGTGTGCACTGTGCACACCCCTGCCGTCAAGAGAATTAACCCTCAACATTGTGTAGAACCCCCCCCC